TATTAACCCCCCCCCCCTTTTGTTTTTAAAAATTCCCCCCCCCCCCCCCCCCCCCTTTTTTTTTCCCCCGCCCTTCTTTTTCCCCCCCCCCCCCCCCCCCCCTAGGTTCCTGCAAGAGTTTTTCGCGACGCACCCCGAATACGCGTCCAACCCGTTCTACGTGTTCGGCGAATCGTACGGGGGTCACTACGCACCCTCGGTGGCACACCGGGTGTGGCAAGGAATCAAGTGAGTTGAGAATGGAGGGTGCTTTCGCGCTTCGAGTTGCGTGTTCTTGCACACGCACCACAGCTATTGAAGGGAAGTTGGACTGCCGTCGGGCTTAGGGTCGGTCCCGTCGGGGTGGGCTATGAGGCCTTGGAGGAGAGCTTCTCCTGTGCTAAGGGAGCTGTTCTTCGAGTCTCGAAACTTGACGTGACACTAGTATTGCCATATCTTTACTCGTTCCTCTTTTTTGTTTTGTTTTGCCCGTACGTTTTTCCCTGGCGTCTCCTGTGTTCTCTTGTGCGTCTCTTATCTCTATCTGTCCGTCTGTCTGTCTCTTCGCCCCTTCCTCAACGTTTGTCCTCGCCACGGCCTACCGGGCTATCTGCGCTCCCCCCCAAGTATTGCAATCGTACATGATCACCCTGCCATTTGCTGCACAGCCACAACAGATTCTCATATTCTCATCTGTGAACCAATCCGTTGTATGTATGTAGCACTTTGACCCCCCCCCCGCCCTGGTGGTCCCCCTTTTCTTCCTTTTGTTCCTTGTGCTCGGCGGCGGGTGGACGGACGCCCACGACCTTTTGCTGCACCAAACTTGCTCCCCACCGTCTGTCTGACCCAGCCGCCTCCCGCCGGTCGATTCCGAATGCCTTTTGATGTTACCGTTGATGGTGCAGGAACGGGGAGGGTTCCGCGATCAATCTTCAGGGGATGGGCATTGGAAACGGCCTCACGTCTCCTGCGATACAGTACCCCTTCTACACTCAGGTGCGCGTTACTGCTGTGGTACTGCGGGATGTAGCCAGTGTATCCCAACTTGTGGCTCGAAGTTCCTCCGCCCTCAGCCCTTCCCCTGCCCCGCTCGAAGTGGCATTGGATACCGCACTGCCTGGGCCGATTTTCCAGACGCAGCAGGAAGGGGATTTCGATATTTTCAGGGCGTTTTTGGAGCTGTCTTTCGGTCGATAGCTTTCTGGAATCGGCAGCTGTCCCTTCTGTATAGATTGTAACGAGCTTGGGAAAGCGTGGTACCTAACACAGCATCCGGTGCAGCATCACCTCGTCCTTCGCCGACTGCGATTGGTATCCGCGCTCGAGACATGGCTGGGCCGCGCCCCTCCCTTTCCCCCACGCATCCCCTCTATAAAGTTCCGGTTACGTTTGTCTGCAGAAGTATCGCAAGTACACTTTTACATGCAGAACTCCTTTGTGGCCGTATCATCCTTGCCGCCGTTATTCGTGTGTCTCCCTTCTTCTTCGCGGGGCCGCGATTGTGTGCACACATGTAAAACGTGTGAGATGGACTCAGTCACGTGAGGGGTTGTTAACCACCACTTTCGTCTTTTTTTTTTTTTTTCTCCGTTAATTGTGGCCGGCCGGTGGCCGATCAGATGGCAGTCGACAACCCGTACGGGGTGAAGGCGGTGTCCGAGAAGGACGCGGCCATGATGCGGGCATACACGCCGGCGTGCGTGGCGCTCATCGACGGATGCCAAGACGTGCCGGAGGTATGTGTGCGTGCGTGTGTCACGAACAAGATGGTTTTGTGTGTACGCTTGTTTGTGTTCCTGGCATCGACCGCGCTATCCGGCAGACCAATGAAAATATGGCAGTCGTAATTTATTGCGGTTGAAAACAGGACGCTTCGAAACGTCATCATCTAGGACCCCGTGTGTGTGTTGTGTGTGTGTCTTGTAGTCGGCATCGACCGCGATAATGTATGTAGCCAGATTTCCGAGAACGCCCTCAGGAATTGTTTGACAAAAAAGCGAAGAGGCCCCCGCAAGTCGGCGTGTGTGGTCACGCGTAGGTGTGCCCGTGTGGGGGGGGGTGTTTCGTTTGTCGGCTTGAGTCGAGTCGTTCACTACTCGGGTAGCTTATTGGACTGGCGCTATCGCGGGCCGAGCAATCAATACGAACCAAGTTCCGGATCTGATCGAAAACCTTTCCCCTACCGCTGCCCCCCCCGGCCTTGACCCGCGTACACACTCGCCACCGCTTCGACATGATTTACATTTGGGTGGCGTCCACCCTACTGGCGTAAACCCTGCTGGCCTGGCGATACTTGGCACGCAAACGCAAACTGCGTTGGTGTTGCGGCGCGCGGGGAACAGATGTGCGACGATGCTCAGTCTTTCTGCGACGAGCACATGATGGCGCCGTACATGCTCTCCGGCCTTAACCCGTACGACGTCAGGTAGGCGCTGCTGCCGCAATGCTGCTGCTGTTTTTGTTGTTGCAATCCTGGTGCAGGCCATGGTCGTGGCTTGTGCTGGTGGTGCTGCTGTTGCTGATGGTGCTATTGTCGTGGGCGCACACCTGTTGCTTCTGTGTTGAACCACTAATCCGTTTGCATGAGATGAGATGAGATATGCAGTGATGTGGCGTTTGACCACATGTAAACGGCTCGGCTTGTGTTGGAAGTTGGGCGGTACCCTCTGTCTCCGCAGATTGAACAAATGCGTACACGTCAGGTGCTGAGTTTTGGCTTTGCCCCGTCTTCACAGTAGATGTTCCCACACCGGATACTGCTGTGCCGTCGTTCGCGCCACCGGGAACTTTTTTTTTTGTGATTTCTTAGAATCCCGCGTGATACAAATCTCGCCTTTGTAGTTTCTTTGTGATGCAGGTTGCCAATCCATCGTTCGCCTTACGGCTATTCGTGGTCTCTCTCGCGCGCCCCTGCGTCGTCGACCGACGTGAAAACACGCGAACACGAATTAACAGGAAGCAGTGCGGCGACCAAGGCCTGTGCTACGACTTCTCTGCCATCGAGAAGGTACGATACAGAGCAGGGGTGCCCGCCTCCTCCCTCCCGCCTCTCGGCAAACAAGGCTGGTAGCTAGTCGAAGGTTTGGTCAAACTATTATGTTCCTTGCCACAGACTTGCCGCTGGCTTCGCGAGCAGACGGCTTCTCCTGCGGTCGCTCCTGCTGCTTTATGCCACAGGTCTGGAAAGCGTCGCACGCGGCGACCGACACGCCGAGTCAATCGACCCTGTCTTTTTCAGGACCCCGTGTTCTCTTCCTCCCCCCCCCTCCACCTTGCATACCGTTTTTTCTCGCGCACACGCATGTTTTTTTTTCGTTTATCGTACATGCCATATTGTACTCACCGGACGTCACCATGCCCCCCTCAATGTTCCCAACCCGCGGCGCAAAAAAAAAAACGGAACGGAACAAAATGGGATAAAAGTTCCTGAGGCTGGACAGCACCCGCGAGGCCCTTAACGTGCGTGATGACAGTGCACCGTGGGAGTCTTGCAACATGAAGGTCAACTCTGACTTCAGCGGGGACTGGATGCGAGAGTTCGACGGGCTCATCGGGCCGATGCTGGAGGACGGAGTGTCCGTGCTTATCTACGGTGAGAAGAGGAGAGAGAGAGAGAGAGAGAGAGAGAGAGAGAGAGAGAGAGGTTTTCGAGGTTGCTTTGCTTCCCCTGTCCGATTGGTTGTGGGAAAAGCGATCGCCAGTTAACCGTTTCGTGTAGTGGCGCGCGGGAACGAAAGAAAATGTTCAACCCGCGTGAACACACACTCGGCAATATCACTATTCTCTATTTTATTCTTCTCGCTCACCCGCGTCATCACCGGCACGTTTTTTTTTTTTGCCGCTACTCTCACCCATGTTGCGCCTTGTTTGCACCTTAAAAGCACCCTCCGTACCCCTGCCCTCCCGCCACCGCCACCGCTCTCGCACGTGCACCCCATATCTCCCCCTACACCTGCCTGTTCTGCAGCCGGTGACTGCGACTGGATTTGCAACTACATGTGAGAGGAGGGTCGAGACATTTGGAAGTTTGGGATGACGGTAAACAAAAGCGAACACTGATAGATGCGTGGTTCGCAAAATGTTGGCTGATGCCTCGGTGTGATGCCCCCCCCCCCCCCTTCATGTCGCACAGTGGCATGCCTCGCATGCGAATGTGTAGTGGAGGATATGCTACCGAAGGTTGCATACGAAAGATACTTCACCCCCTGGACTGATTTTCAAAGCTCAATTACTCCACGACTAAGAAGATGCCAAAATCAGATGATGCGTTTTCAGAAAGCCCTCGATGAGACGGTTCCAACGCCTCCCGCCATTTTCGGCACCCTCACCACTTTTCTTGCGGATTAATCGAGCTTTGAAAATCGGTCCAGGAGGTGTGATGTATTGTGCGACCTACGGCATTCGTGCTACGTACAAAACAACAGAGCTGCTCCATCTGTCTGTCCTTCGCCGGCTAAACAACGTCGTCATTATTACTATTATTTTGCCAGGGGCAATGAGGCGTGGACCCTCAGCCTGGACTGGACCGGGGGGGACGGCTTCCGAGCGGCCCCGCAGATTGAATGGAGCACGGACGCCGCCGCCGCAGGCCTGTCGAGATCATACGGGGGGCTCACGTTCCTTCAAGTGTACGAGGCGGGACACATGGTGGGTTGTGGTGTGTGCCGGAGAGGTCTACTTGCCGGGTTGGTTCCCTTTCCGCCCATGGTACATCGAAAGCCCAGATAGCGGGAACGGCCTTTCCTAGGCTTAGCAGTTGGCCTCTCTTTTCTGTGGCGGCGTGATTCGAGTACGGTGATGTTCCGGGTTCTCCATTCCTTGTACCTGTGCGGCTTTGTTTTTTGTTTTTATAACTTGCTCCTCCTAGTCGATAGCCATGCTCAGGCTAGATCATCGGTGAACAAGACATGAAGCAAAAACGAAACAACCGTAGGGCAAGAGATCGATAGGCACGATGAGGGGGCAAGATTTAGCAAGAACAATTAAGTTGCAGGGTGAACGGGCCGAAAGAGTTGAAGAGATCCGGCCGCACACCGGCAGCGCGTCGTTCCTCCTCCTGGTGATCAAGATCGCGACCAAACCTCGATGCGTGCGCATCATGTCCGTGGACCGTTGTTCCTGATGAGGTCGTGGTTGTTGGTCGTGCGGCTATCACATCATCTTCGTAGAGATGCGCGTCCATGGGTTTATTTCAAGCACGATGCTACGTTTCATCAGTTTCGTCACCACAGAAACCGGCCTGGCTAGGCGAATCAGAAGACGGACCCCCCCCCCCCACTCACAACGAACAAGGCTAGAAATCACTGCCAATACGGCTAGAAATATCAGTACTTGCGAACCTTCTTTTGAGGTGGCCATTTTTAGAAACTTTTTAGCCTGCAAGGTGACTGACTCACGCTGACGACTTGCCTTTGCTGGGCTGTGCGCCGGGTGTTGCAACAGGTGCCCATGGACCAGCCGGAAGTTGCCCTGGCCATGCTCAACGCCTTCGTGCACGAAGACGCCCGCCCTTTCGAGCAGCCGCAGCACGCGGGGGGCGAGAGCGCAACGGTGTCTTAAGCCATGACCCGTTGACCGCGCCTCCTCTGTACAGGACAACTGCTGTTGTGATGCTGCAAGACCCCCCCACCCCCCGTTCCATCTTTTACGAAAGAGAGTAAGAGAGAGGATGGGTGCCGTCACTGCGTTGCTCTAATTTGTGTGTAAATACTCGCTCGAGAGCGACCTTGGCGTGCCGTTTCACAATGCCGTGTGAAACACCATGCCCGTCTTCGGACCCGGGGCGAGCCCTCGCGCACCGCAGAGAAGTTTTGTAGAGGGCGTCGATCTTCTAGCTCGAGGGCGATCGATCTTATGGCTCGAGAGGTTTCGGGATGCGAATGCGGACGGCAGCGAGAGAGTGGTTGGGTCGGACGTTGCCGCTCGCTGCCGTTGTGCTGGTGTCGCCGGCGGCCGGCCTCACCCCATTCGACCGTTGTTTTTGGTCGCGTGTTGATTCCTTTCTTGCGGGAGAACGGGTTTCTTCCTTCCGTGCTTTGTGCTTGGGGCGAGAAAGCCGTACGCCCCGTGCTTGTATGTAGAGCGGCACCTCGATTTGTAAATACGTATGTATGGGTGTCTTAAAAGCTCTACCAGCCATTTTGCGGCATGTGCATCCAACTAGGTGGATTGCCAGTCCACCGTGGGGGTTGCTCAAATGTGTCTTTTTTTGTTTGTATTTTTTTTGTTGGCCGTCTCGTGGTGTGGTGGGGGCCCGTAGCTGTGTTGACACATGGGGCGTGCAATCGGAATCACGAATGAACGGATTTCTAGCTCTCGCCGCGTAGAGCATCGTAGAGTTCCTCGCGTGGGACCGCTGTGTTAACGGTCTCTTCTGCATAGATAGGCGCGATACGGTGAAGGAAGGATACCCTGAAACTTGGGAGGCCCGACGTTGCTGCTTGTTAGGCTTTGGGCGCTTGTGCGTTGCCACGGGCCGGAGTAGAACGAGGTTAGAGAAAAACACATTTGTGGCAGACAATCCGCAGAATGAATGGACTCATGTTTCCCAATTCAATGCCCCACGTTTGGGTATACTGGTGCAGATTTTGCGCACATGTTTCGTTTGCGGACGAGCGCGCGCAATGCTCGTACGCGCCACGAACACGCCTAGCTCTGCGAGCGGACTGGATGCAGTCGTATCACACGCTGTCTTCCGCACGATATCGAAAAAAGTGAAAAGTGGGGTTCGTTACGAACACGACCAAGAAGAGGTTTACGTAACGGGCTTCGTGGTGGGCGAACTCTTCAGCCGAAGTGAATGTCGCAAAGTATTTTGTTGCGTGCCACGTATGCACTGTGTGCGTGTAGACAAACCTTGGGAGTAAAATTGAGGGGGTCTGACATGGATCGACACATCGACACACAGCCAAAAAGAGGTGTCAGAGGAGCTACAGTACATTGCCAAAAAAGAGGGTGGGTTGTCGGTTTCAGCGCCGGCATCAATGTTTTCTCTGGAGTAAACCGAGCACCGCACGATGTGCACGCAGCCAAACCGATCCGCAGGGGGGCTTTCCAACATCGAACGAAGCGTTAGGTTTGCAAAGAGAGAAAAGGAGAAGTAAGGGCGAGGGCCAAGCTGGAGAAAAAACACTTCCATCCTGCTTTACTTTGTGGTCCCTGGTGCGTCAGGCATATACCAAAAGGTGCATCAGACTGCCGCCCAGAAGATGGGACGACGGTACTGTAACAGTTGATTTCAAGGATCGAGCTGAATCGAGTTGACGTCGCCAAGTCGGGCATTATCGTCGCGCATTGTTGGAAGTGTCGAGTTGCCGCCCCAACTCTCTACCCCCGCTCCTCGGCGTCGAAGAGACGGACGGTAAACATTCAGGTGCACACGCCGAAAACCAGTGGGCGACGCGTACCTTTGCCCGCGTTCGACTTGTGTTCGGTCGTTCGTGCCTCGGAGATATTTGGAATCTACAGTAGTAGTTATCAATGAAACGCTACCATGTCCGTTGCGACTGCTGCTCGTTATGCGATCCTACAAATGAACGATAGAAGATCCAGCTACATACCGGGCTCTCCAATTGTGCCGACTTTCTTTCTTTCTGTTGTTGTTGTTGTCTTGTCAAAAGAAACAAAAACCCGTGGTAACCTTCACCTTCACAGCGACCCACGACCACTCTTAAGACACGACCACTCTTCAGACACGACCACTCTTCAGACACGACCACTCTTCAGACACGACCACTCTTCAGACACGACCACTCTTAAGACACGACCACTCTTAAAGACACGATGCTGACTGAGTAGTCTAATGGGTAAGCCTTTCTAACATTTCTTGCCAGCTAGGCAGTTAGGTCAAGAAGCCCATTCTACGGGTAGGTCCATTGAATGAATGAGCAAAATCAAACACGAGGGGGTAGTTCCGTCTCGTCATTGCTGAAGATGCTAGACTACGCGTCTTGGGAACAACGCCGAAAACTTCAAACAATATTACGGCACGGACTCGGCACTACTGTAGTCCTCTTTATTGTACGGTTTGACACTAACACCAAAGGAAAATTCAAAGCTCTCCCTGCTAAGGCGGTACTTACTTAAATAAGCGGGGGAACGACCCAGAGGAGGAGAGAACACCAAAGATCCCTAATAGGCAGGGCTCGGGGGATACGCATGCCTTGATGTCCTTGAAACAAGGGTTCGAATACCACCCACGACAAAAAACTAACCTCGCGCTCAGAGCTTGGGCTACCTTTTAATACTACTGTAGAAATGCAAAGACCATTTCAGGCACACGCCGACACACGGTGACACGGTGAAACGTGTCATAGGCCCTCTGGCAGTTCGTTTCGCTGCAACTCGAACGGATACACGAGCACACTTTGGAATTCTACGTTTGCACAACGAGAGGAGGAAAGGACGCTGGGGGCGGGACCTGTACCTACAAAGTCACTTGCCATGAGGTTCGTATGACCGGGTTGGGGAGGGAGGGTCAAATGAAAAAGGACCACCTCTACACCATTCGTTCTGTATGAAGCAGAGCATGGAAACTGTTGTTTACAATAGTATCCAAGCTCTGTTTGATTCAGAGAGAGCGATAAAAGGGGCCAAATTGCACCATTCGTTCCGCACAAAACGGAGAACGAAACCTGTTTGTTTACAACAGTTTCCAAGCTCTGTTTGATGCAGACGAAGCGATGATACGACAACAGCAGGCATACTCGACGACACTCGCCTACTTACCCCGGCACGCCCCCACCCACATGTCCCTTGGATTCCCAGCTGGCAAGACCGAGCAGGCGGCACACGTCGTTGCACTGGTGGGTTTCGAAGAACTTGCGCATGCCCTTCTTGCCCAAGTCCGTCCTCCCGTACACCTGACGACGTCCGGACGCGGACCGATAGTGGATCACCGGATCGGTCAGCTCGAACACGCCAGCACGGTCCTCATGGATGCAGCTGGTGGACTGCACTCCCTGCAGGTCGCACACGAGCATCTTGCGACGACTTTTGCGGTACGAGAAGTGGGAGAAGGCCTGCACGTAGCTCTCCGGCTCAGGGTCGAAACTTGTTGGACCGCCTTCCGCCTTCTCGCCAGCCAGAGCACCAACGGATGTACCATCGTCGTCCTCGTCGTCGTCCTCGTCGCCTCCGCGAATGATGGGCACCTCGCCGTCGCTGTCGGAGTCTTCTTCTTCTTCGTCGATGGCCCCCATCATCTCGTCGGCGCGAGCGCGCATTAAACCCGCGGCGGGTTCCGCTGCAGAAGCGCCGGCGGGGTCGGCTCCCTGCCCGCCGTGAACGTAGCCGTTGTTGCCGTTGAACTTGGTGTAACGGCCCACGAGCAATTTCTCCACCAGGACGCTCCGATTAACCCCCCCTTCAAGGAAAGTGTACACCGAACATGGAAGGAACGAAATGTCCCACACCCGATGCTTGCAATCATCACCGAAGATTACGCGGAGCATAAACCGTACCCTGTGGTTGAATCGTTCGGCCATACGCTGCGCCTCTAGCTGGGTCCAGGCAAAAGAGTGGTGAAACTGGATTTTCATGGTTTCTTGTCCGATATGCTTGCTCTCTTTCGCCACCAACTTTGGCCCCACAAGCTCACCACTCCGCAGGTCAACCTCCTGGTGATTTTAAAGAGAGACCCAAAGAGAGTGTTGCAAATGCACGTAGAGGGAAGACAATTCGTACAGTAGTTAGAGTTGGAAACCGGGGTCGGTCGTGTTGACTGCTCGCGCAGTGAGTGGCCTTGTGTGCATGTGCTATCGGGGGAGGATGGAGGCGTTCGTTGAGGGTTTGCCAAGGAAAACGAAAAGTACACGAACTCTGTGGCCGCACAAAGCAGCAACGTGCAAATCGTAGTGAGCCTAAGCAAGTAGCAGGGACCTTGTCAACGGGGTGTTCATTGACGAATCCAAAGGATTCAAGATCTTGAAAAGGATACTGCTGCAGTCCCTCAACAGAGAGGCGCAGACTAAATGCACACACCTGCAGGCCGAACACCAGACGCTCGGCACCCTGTCCCAGGCTTTTGCTACGGATAGCGATACCGTTGGCCTTCTCCGAGAACAGCTCCACCGGAACCCAAGGAGTTCCAGAGTACTTCATGGCTTCCAACGAGAACTCGTAGCCCTCGACGCTGCTCGAATACACCACCCAGCCGTCCCCCGTTTGGGCTGTGGTAGGCGCGCGACCCCAGTGAGAGCCGGGGGCCTCCCTTTCCACTTGCCGTAGCTCGCGGCGCTGGTTATTACCACCCGCCAGCGTGGTGAGGCGAAGCCTGGTGGCCGTCAGGGACGAAATGCTGTCGGCGATAGCGGTTCCGAGGCCCCTTGACGACAGCTCCGGTCGGTGAAACTTTCCCTGCGAGCCTCCGTCGCGGGCAGCTTCGGCCATTCTCTCCAGCACAGTAAAATCCTGCTCTGGTCCAGCGAATCCGAGAGTCACGACGGACAGCTGCTCCCCAAACACTTCCGCCAGATTTGTCACCCGGCCGAGGATGGTTTCTACCACTTCCGGGTAGCTGGTGGTGATGCCCACGTGGTTGGCATAGCTGTAGTCGCTGGGCCGGCCATCAGAGAGGAACAGCAGAGACAGAGCACACTCGCCGTGGGCCTGGCTTTTGAGAAGCTCCTCAGCTATGTCCAACGCCGGCAGAAAGTTGCCGTGAAACTGTGGCGCGCCGGTGTCGTGAAGGTTGACGAATTGATTGTACAGCACTAGGCCCATTGGCTCCTTCTCGACCGCGATGTCAGCCGACCCTTGCATCACGACAAGGCTCACAACATCTGTGTCAGTCGCGTCCCCAGAGAGCCGCGGCTTCGCCACGAAATCCATCGCAAGCATTCCAAACACCGCCTGAGACCGATTGTAGAAATCAGCAACATCGGTCTCTCGCATAGACCCTGACTGATCCACAACGATGACGGTGTGGGAGGTACAAAGGGAAGGGTCGTTCTTCAGGCGCTGCTTCGCGGCTTCATGCTCCCCGATCTGCTTCAAGGTAAGCTCGGCATGGGGGATGCCGATAGGCGCTACCCAGGACGTGATCTCTTGAGTCGAAGTCTCGTCCGTGATGTAGATGATGTCCGCGTAGGTGTACTTCCACCTGATCGCACCGGTTTCCGGGTCTCGCTTTGCAAGCTGCTTCTTGCCGTACCTCACGGCGGCTTGCAGATCTCGTCGATCGATCTGGCGCTCGGCCCGGCGTCGCTCGCCGTGGAGGCTCGAAAAGAAGAGGACTTCGCTCGTGCCCGGAATAGCGGTACTGGAGGGCCCAGGTTCGGCCATGTTCACTCTCGTCCACGCACAAGTTGGACGCCCTTAGGAGGAGAACGAGAGAGAAGGGAGAAGGAGTGGGTGCTTGAGGGCGGTGGATACAGAGCAGGAACAATTCGAGATAGAGCCAGTGACAGATCTTCTCGGATCTCCAAACCGTGACTTTCCGAACGAGGCTCTTGATATGTAGCAGCGCTACAACTCTTCATCGTCTCTAGGGTTGTTGCGCGCGGTAGTATACAAGGAGACTTTCGTGCCTCAGGCTCCAACTCGTTGGGACGCTCATGCATACTCATGGGATACAAATGACCCGTGTTCATACAAAGCCCATACAACACATGCTGCTGCATGTGTGCGCGGACAATGCGGACACATGCGAATTCTGTTCCGAAACCAAAGGCTACAAGCGTACAGCAGTGTGGCAGTGTGGCCAGCGGCCAGCGCTTCTTTGCGCACCTTACAGATTTCGTTGGGATGGAAGATGCCCCCAAGCGGATCACAATGTGTAACGAGAAACACGAAACACGAGTGGAGACGTATGGACGGGAGGAGTTGAGATGCAACGGTACCCAACGAAAAGAACGCGGCGTAACCTACATAGAGCCAGCGCGGTAGAACGTCGTGTTTCGGCTTAGACCGAGAAATGAATACACCCACAGAGAGACAACCCATTCAAGGTATACCCAGAGTCTTTTTGGGACACCTGGAAAATGTACATGCATACTCACACCATGTGCTTCACCTTGCGAACTATATCGGTGCCGGCACTTCGTTCTTCGTGTGTAATGCATATACTGGTACACCTTATGATCTAGAAAACGGTGTCGGCTGTGTGCATCACACGTACTACGTCCCGACCCTCCGTTTTTTGTCATCAGTGGCATGTCATTCCACCTCTACTCTCTACAGACTACAGAAATTTAGCAAAACACAAGCACAAGTACTAGAATACCCCCCTTCTAGACTAACTAGAGTATTCGGGGTACCGTGGGCGTATGTAGACTAATAGACTATACGATCAACTCAAGTCCCATCACCGCGGCTAACTCGTCTGCGGTGGTTGCCTGTATGTTTTGTGTTTCATTCGCGACATGTCCAGCCACCCTTATCCTTCCCCGCGTCGACGTTCAAGTTGAAATATTGAATCTCACGAACAAGGAGAAGAACACATTTGCTCTCCTCCTGACCTTGCCTGTGGCAAGGATATGATCATAGCCGAACATCACGGAGCGACCAACCCATACACATGGCGCTTTGCTGAAGTAAAATTGACCCCACCAAAATCGGCATTTCACATCTTTCACTTCAGGTATTTTTTCTGAACGCGTCATCAGCTGGGGTCAAACAGGAGGCCACAAAGGCTGTTTTTTTCTTTCTTCTGCGCCTTATTTCTGTGGTGGCTGCCTTCTATCGGCAGAGAAGAGGAGTGGACATCCGAAGAGAGAGTCAAAGCCAGTCACGGCTAGTTACGCTATCGAAAAAAGAGCCAGCCGTTATTGTCCCTTTCTTTGTCGACACCGTGAAATCGAAGTAGATAGATGCGTATGCAATACACCCAAAAAATACGTGCGCGTTCCACGTTTTCTTTTGGCACAGTCTATTGGGAGAAATGAATCCAGGTCATGTGCTGCGCCGAGATTTTAACCCACGTCCCAAAAAGAAAAAAAACGAGGTTACCAACTGAACCACTCAGCCTTGCTGTTGTGTGACCAAGCTTAAGCGTTGGTGCAAAAAATGCGCGATTTCGCATGGCTGGGTCTAAATGCGCGTGCAATCACGAAGGTGTAAATATGTTCTGGCAGAGGGAGTGGGTTGCTCCCCAGCCTGCTCGAGTTTAACCATTTGGTACCTATCCATCCAACTTGCGGCTCCTACCCTAATTTACCCTCTAAGCGAGAGAAACACTTTGTTCTACAAGAACAGATCGTTTCCCCCTCCCCCAAACTTGACGGCCCCTAGGCGAGACGCGAATCCACCGCCACCGCCGCCGACACCGCTACCACGCTCCCTTCCTGCGATGGCGCGCGGCTTCGGGGGCGGGGGCCGGGCTCGGCGTACCGCAACGCACGAGCGGACCCCCGCTCGAAGCGCCTCCTGTACCCTGGGAGACAGGTCGCCGATGAAGACCATCCGAGAGACGCGTGTCGCCCCGGCGGGCCAATCAGACACCTCGGACTCGAAGTGGCCGTACAGTCCCTAGTTTCGTGGAGAAGCGCGTACAAGGGAACAGAGCGGTGCGGGCTAGACTGTTACTGTTGAGTCAGAAACATAGAGATTCGACGTATTTCAAGTCGATAGCCGACCTGCGAGCAGTATTTCAACGGAGACGGACACACAGCGTGACCCTCGTCTTTCCCTACTTCCTGCCGTGATAGAAACAAGCACGTTCGAAAATGACGCCATCCGTTCCAAATACACGTAACGTCTTGCTGCACCAGCGCCACACACCTCCCGACATATCATCCTCTCCCATTTGGACTGCCCATGTACCCCACCAACGCCGCCGTGTGCGACTAACTCCGTACCTGCACTACCGTTCGCCTCCCGGCCCCCCAGCCCCACGTCGTCGCGGCGCCGCTCCCATTAGCGGCGGTCGTCCACAACACCCCCTTCAGCCTCCAGATCAACTCCTCGCCTTCTTTCTCGAGGAAGCCCTATGTCGACAGAAAAAAGTGCCCGGAGTGAGGGGACAAACACGCGAGAAAACAGGCTCTGTCGGCCTTTCGGTTGTCGGAAGAGGGTCCTCGCGCTTACTTGGGTGTGTGGAACGTATTCATGCACACACGTCCCCCCCCCATTCAGACGATTTCTGGCACACCTCGCCCCGGCTGGGTTACCTTGAGCCACGAGGTGAACTTGGTCCAGTCGATCGGCCCCTCCGCAACCTCCACCCCGACGCTCTGCGCCCCTAGGCGGTCGTGCGCGTGTCGATGATCGCGACCCGGGGATGATGCTGCCGCCGCTGCGCTCTTCTCGCCCCCCCCGTGAGGTGGCGTGTTTGCCTTGGCTTCCCCGTGGCGGTGGTGGTGGTGGTGGCCGTCGTGCTTGTCGGAGTTCTTTTTCTTGTCGGCGAGGATGTCCGCAAAGTGCTTGTCCATCTGGGGCATTCGTTGCATTCAACGCGGAAAAAAGCGGGAAAAAAGCGGGAAAATAGGGGGGGGGATGAAGAAAATGAGGGACGGCTCCCAGCACGTGCCGGGGGGGGGGACAACCTGCCGGGGGGGGGGGGGGGG